TGCTGACCTTTTGCATTCGGAGTGCAGCGCCGTGGCTTCTTTCTTTCTTCTCAGCATCACATGCTTGCCATGAGGGCAAAGAGGAGATGTGGTGCCAGGCACAGACAAAAGGCATTTGTTTTTCCTCTATTCTCAATCCCCTGTTACAGGCATGCCACTTTAACAGGACCCATTCTCACCAGCACTCTCTGCTCCTGAACAAAATCTTAATTTATTACTGGAACATCATCTGCAGTTCTGAGGCCTCAGGGCTTCCTGGAAACCAGGTCCAAGGCTTCTCAACCTGGACATTCAAAACTGCAAGCACTCAAATGCCTTCCCTGCCTGCTGTGTGAAGCCCGCGCCTCATGCTTGGTCATACTGAATTATCTGGGACATCGGAGCAAAGGGGTGTAAAAGAGCTCTGCTGGAGACAGGGTGTCGACCAGACGTGTGCAACTTTCAGATAAAGCAAGAGAGCACAACCTCATCCCGCAATGCGTCTGAGGGAGGGAAGCCAGCCATGATCGTCCCGTGCTTCAGTTTCCGGTCACTGACAAGGCTTAGCTCATGTGTCTTCCAGAGAAGTCCAAATCTTATGACCTACTGACTTCGTAATTAAATAGACTTTGAGGCTCAAAGCTCCTGTGCAGGCCATCTCATGCAGTATCTGGTAACCGTGTACTGACCCCTGTGCCAACAGATGCAGATGGATCCAGCGTGTGTAATTCTGTTTCTTACGCGGGTTTCACGACAGCTGCTAGCCATTTAAAACAGATCATGTAAAGTCACAAATCAGAGGAGGGCAAAAAATAAATCTCCCCGCTGCTTCTTTACATGTACGAAAATAGGAGGTGATGGTGTGGGGAGGCAGCTCCAGGTGGCTGGTACCGTGGCTGCTCTGCAGTGACCGCACATTTCTCATGAGGAAGAACTTCTTCACTCTGAGGGTGACGGAGCACTGGAACAGGCTGCCCAGGGAGGTTGTGGAGTCTCCTTCTCTGGAGATATTCAAGACCCGCCTGGACAAGGTCCTGTGCAGCCT